AAAGTTTAGAGCGAAACATTCACTCCCACTCAGAACTAAATGCTTCTCCGGATACCAGAGGCGGAGCTGGCCTAAATGGCGCCCTGTGCGAGATCCCCCTGTGACGCCCCCCCCCCCCCCCCCACACACACACACACACACAAGAAGAAACATTACACCTACAACTTTGTTTCAAATTGCGTGGAGTGTATATATACCGTGAATCCTCTAATACAGGCCGGTATTCAATTAAAGGCCGGGTCTCCAATTCTGACCGGTGTCTGAGTCAGTGGAGGTAAATAATGGCCGGTCTCTTATTGTGGCCGGATGGCATGTCGTTACAAGCAAGTACGAGCTTCTCAGCGGCAGGGTTATAGTCCCCAAATTAACCAGCAGGAGGCAGTAGAAGTTCACGCAGACCTTTTTTAAGCCTTTTCTTCAACGCTTTGAAACGCTACAGACACGATCCTCTATCACGCTCCTACCACACAGATTCATGGTGTCAGTTAACCATGCTAATTCAACCCGCTCCACAGAACACACATCACCTTCCCTGTGGCTTACATAACACTCACACAACAGCAAATCAGCACATAGGAACTAGCAGAATAATAGGAAACACATATAACACAATACCCAGAATGCACCTGGCTTACAACCCCAGCCAGGTCATTACACTATCAAGTTCAAAGAGAACGTGCTGATTATGCTGCAGAACACTCTGGAGAGCAGCAGTAGGGGGTGTATGAACTACAGTAATCCCTCCGCGGTAGATGCGTTCCAGACCTGGCCGCTATAGGTGAAAATCCGCGAAGTAGGGACTCCCAGCATGCCCCTCGCGGGGATTCCCTTCACGTCGCACCTACGTCACAAACCGCGGCTATAAACGGAAGTCGCCTTTCCAGCTCACCACTCAGTCATCGTTTCTTCAGATTCACGATCAGAGTTTCCAACCTACCGATCAATCCAACGAACTATCAGCTCATAGTAAGTTATCTTACTTACTTCTGGAAAGCCCGGCATTTCCGTGTCACTTTGTTGACGCTCGAACGCTCGGGGGTTTCCTAGAGCACCGACGCTATCACTTCCGCGTCTGTGAAACCACGCTCCCTATTGAATTATCGTATGATCACATTCTCTTTTTGGGGGTAAAACTCAAGTGCCAGACCGTAGGTACTGACACGCGATCGTTCATGTCGGTTCATTTCCTTTAATGTTTTCTGTCTTTTATTTGCGCCTGAAGTGTATCGCTGCTGTGGAGCGGGGCGCATCAACTTGTCCTCCGACGCACAGATCACAGCAGGGAGCGCTCAGCTGTTTTCGCGGTCGGTAGATCTGCCTCCTGAGCACGGCCACAGTAACAATCAGGTGTCGCCACCTCAAAAACTAATTTAACACGCGATCGTTCATGTCAGTTAATTTCCTTTAATGTTTTCTGTCTTTTATTTGCGTCTGATGCGTTTCGCTGCATGCTGTGGAGCGGGACGCTGCGCGCATCACCTTGTCCTCCGACGCACTGATCACTGATACGGCTGTCAAACAGCGAGCGCTCCGCTGTTTTTGCGGTCGGTAGATCTTTTAGAACTGCAGTTCAAAGGTAACTCATGAGGTGAATATATATGAACCCAGGTAGCAGTTTTTCTTTAGGACTGAGAGGAGATGCAGGAAGATAATAAACAGACAGGACAGAAAAATAGTCAAATAAAAACAAGTTAGTTTTTGTACCTGGTGGTTGCAACAAACAGACACCATTGAAGGTAATCAGAAGTGAGGAACAGAAAATGAAATAATTATTTTAATGTTTAGAGCAGCAGGAACTCTGAGAGGCTGCAGGCGCATCAGTGAGTTTGCGGCCGCTGCGCAGGGGGAGGGGGGAGAGGGCTGAAGCAGGAACTACCGTTGTTAAAAGAAATGTGTTTAACTTTGAAAATGTGGGCGCAATTTTAATTGTCAAAAACTCCAGCGAACCATTAGTTCATTTTGCTCAAATAGAAATAGAGGCCTGCCTCTAATACTGGCCCTCCTTCCAATAAAGGCCTGGAGCTTGATGAGCTTGAGTCAAATACAGGCCCGGGCCTGTATTAGAGGATTTACGGTAACAACGTTTGCTAACTGAATACAACATCCAGCTCCTGGCCACCTTCTCACCACTTGTCAAAGTTCTACTGAAATAGACACACGTAAGGTTGGTTTATGCTTGACGCGTCCGCGAGGTCCGCACAGCTCCGCGCGGAAAAGTTGCGTCATTTTGCGTCATTTTAACAACCACGCCCCTCCACCGCGTCTCCGCACGGCCCAAGATTTCCGCAACGCGCACCTCTGAAAATTTCTAACCACGCGGACGGTCGGACGCGGAAAAACATGGCGGACCGGCACGGCAGAGGTTCGTAAACACAGTCATTTGTATGATTCAGCTCTCAGATCACCGTGATCAACATGTTGTTAATAATTCTTGGAGAGAAATAGCTCGCACTGTCGGAAAAGACGAGGACGCTGTTAAAAATGCTGGAATGCCATGTTGTAAACAGTGATTTCTACTTCTACTATGGTGTAGTGTTGGATGCATGCTGTAGAGCTCCATGCTGCCCCGTTCAGTTTGGGAGAATATTGGCTCACCGCGGAGACGAGCCGCACAAACCATAAACGCTGCGAGTTGTGAAGCGCGTTCCAGCCGCGAGCCGCATCACCGCGCGGAAAGTGAATGCGTCAAGCATAAACCAAGCTTTAACGCAACATGATGGCATCATCGACTTGTACAGTACAGATGTGCTGAAAGGCGAGAGTCTCAACTTTCAGCTAAAAAAAGACCGCTCTAGGTATTATAGTTTTTATTTTATGGCAGTTTACAGTTTAAATGGGATCATACTAGCAGGGCACCTCCAGCGGCCCGCTGCCGCTCCGTTTTTCATGGGGTAAATAATAGCTCATTTCCCGATTCCAAAAAGAAAGAATGGTCCTACCAGCTCGCCACTTCAATATGAAGAAGATCAGTTCAACATGGGGAAAAAAACCTGACCTGTAGGCCAGAGAAACGTTCATTAGCACATCAAGTTCTATTCAGTTTACCGGTAAACATATTACGAATGTACAACAGGTCAATTATTAATCATCTTGGCTACGTAGCTCAATCTATACATTCCTGTAGCGTTTGCTACAAACAAATACAAAAACAACAATAAAGGAAAACAACTGTCTGACAGACAGCATAGCCGAATTCAAGGCAACACATAACAATCATTCGATTGCTCTTGGTTTCAAGTTAAGCCCATTAAAGTGCTTAAGTAAATAAAAGTGTTTCAAAAACAACATTTTTGAACCGGAGTTCTGCTCGCGGTGGGAACTCCGCCGAACAAGGTCATTTTTTACAGCGAAAACGATCGACTGGTCACTGACAAGTAAAAGGGTGTTACTGGTAGATGTTAAGAACACTTACCGCTGAAGTAAAATGAGTTTATAAATGAATTGAGGGGAAAAAAACGCTTTGTTTTCCAACGCCGTTCTACAAGCAACAAGCTTACGGCAGGAGCAGCTTTCATCGTTGCCGCGACGTGGAAGGAGCCAATCAGGAGAGGGACCTCACATCAGCTGACGTGGGTCATGTGACAGGGAGTAGTTGATATGGGTTACACTTTGTTGTGCTTTTATTACAGAAATATTATTATTATCATCATCACTATTATTATTAAGAACATGCGATTTCTATGCTTTGTTTATGTATTGGTTGATGCTATAAAAAAAATTTTTTTTAGAAAAAAAAAAAAGGAAATTAATTGCCGCCCCCTGCAGACTGCCGCCCTGTTCGGCCGCACATGTTGCACATATCAAGCTCCGCCACTGCCGGATACGCTGGTTCTGATAATAACATTACACACACACACACACACACACACACACACACACACACACACACACACACACACACACACCGTCATCATTCATCACGTCTCACTCCACCTTAGTCCATCAGTACACAGAATGTTAAAGTTAGTCTTGTTTAAATTGTTTAGAAATAAATTTCTTAACTATTATAAACCTGACTCTTTCTCTTTCCTCGGAGTTTATACGAAGTGTCGCTTAATCCCTGCAATAAAAAGTTCTGATCTTCTGGTTAAAATAGTCAAACATCCATCAGATTGATGTTTCATATTTCTATGGAATCTCACATTTTATGGTTCATAAGTAACATGTAAACTACCCGTCCGTTACAGTGCGATCAGAGTCATCCTCTAAATCCGAGGCTGTGACTCTCATCGGGAAAAGGTGGAATGTTCTCTCTGGGTGGGAGTGAGCATTCATGGGAGACACACCAACGGATTGGAGCTTTGTGTGCAGTAATGAGAACAAATGTGGTGAAGGGACTAAAAAGCAAAGTTCTGGAGCAACTTCCCACCCTCAGCTATGGTCTTGAGTCTTGAATCATGCTGAATCAGCTGAGTTTGAGCTCTCTGCTCTGGAATAAAGGATGCTTAAAGAGCAAGTCACCCCCTACCAGAGTATTACTTCCTGTTTGAAAAATGCAACAAATGCTGTTGCCTAGCAGACCGAGAGGGCAGAGCCGCTAACAAATACAAATACACACACACACACACACACACACACACACACACACACACACACACACACACACACACACACACACACACACACAGGCTCACAATGACATTGTGACATCATATGGTACCAGCTAATGTTCTAGGCTACCTCTTAGCCAATAGCGATGGCAGATTTAAATTCAAATGCAGTGCAGAGTTTTTACCTGACAACGGCACAACACTGACAGTTTTAGGCAGATTATTTAAATTTTAACTAAAATGAACTAAAGTGCAAAACTACTGACTACACGTGTCTGCAGCACGATTAGACACGCATCTATATAGTTTATCAGGAAGAAAAGGTTGATTTGGAGGTAACTTGCTCTTTAAAGAAACTGATGTGGGCAAAACTGGCTTCATGTGTAAAACAAATGATCTGAGGTTCATAAAGAGTCCCAAGAACAAACACCTGTGTGAGATGAAGTTCACCTGGCCATGCTGCTGTTGGCAGAGCTCTCTCCGATCTGCGAGCTGGCGATCCACTTGGTCTCCCCTACCACTGTCCTGGCGTGCGGCAAGCGACCCACATCTTTCACGGTCATCATGAGGTGCCTGGAGGACTTCAGCACTCGGACTGCCTCGTCGTGTGGGACGCTCAGGAAGTTGTGGCTGTTCACTTCCAAGATCTGGTCGCCGACCTGCGGGGAAGGAGCGGAACACACAGGCATGGTGGGAGGGGCTGAGCAAGGTGGCGAGGGTGGAGCAGGCAGAGACTGTCACATGCACAGGTTCAGAGGTCATAGGTCAGAGAGAGGTAACATTAGAGATGGAGGAGATGCACGACATATTTAATGAATCAGAATGACAAAATTAAATGGTATGTTTCATGTTTTATGGTTTTTAGGTACGGTGGCCTGAATGGATCAAGGAAACACAAAGCAAAAATTAGAACGCCGTAAACAGCAACAAAACACACATCAGGGGAGGGGTGTGTGTTAGTGCGGCTCTGTACTTTTACCTAAACACGCTTGGACTGTTCCCGTGGGGCGCTGGTCACAAGCTTGTTACGAGCACGTGTGCTTTTGTCATTTGGGTAGTTACCAGTGTTGGGAACGTTACTTTAAACAAGTAATTAGTTATATTTGCTGATTACTTTGTCAAAAAAGTAACTCAGTTACTTACCGAGTTACAAGATTGCCAGACAAGATACCAGACTGGTGCTTAGCTGAGATAAATGGTATTCAACTACATCTTACCTTCATCTGTCTGTAAGTAAGTGTGTGTGTGCGTGCGTGTGTGTGTGCGTGCATGCGTGCGTGCGTGCGTGCGCATGCGTGCGTGCGCGTGTGTGTGTGTGTGTGTGTGTGTGTGTGTGTGTGTGTGTGTGTGTGTCTGCTCTGTCTTCTCCATCCCCAGTGAGTCGTGGAGGATGGCTGCTTATACTGAGCCAGGATTCTCTGGAGGTTTCTTCCTGTTAAAAGGGAGTTTTCCTCTCCACTATCGCCAAATGCTTTCTTAGTATGTGGATTGCTGTAAAGATGCAATTTGCTGGGTTCCTTATATAGGAAACATTATTTCTGATTGGCTTAATGAACTGACCTGAATTGGAATGTTTATTATGTGAAGTGTTTTGAGACGACTCTTGTCGTGATTTGGCGCTTTATAAATAAACTTGAATTGAATTGAATAGATACCGCCGATACTAAACACCACCTTAAATTGAAGCTTCCATCTTGACTAAGCATTTCAGCTGAAACCACTGAGGGGTCAAACAGGATCAGTTCCTCAGAGCCGAGGGAAACTGGAGCTGTGGGTTTGATTCGTGTGGAAACAAGTAAACAACGTCGTACTGCTCACTGCGTCTGGATAACGTCGATTAAATCCAGACCAAGATATGTAACGGCCTGTAATTATATGGTGCTTTCTCAGGGTTATACAACCCCCAAAGTAGCTTTACAGCACAACCAGTCATTCACTTGCTGGTGGGGATGGGCTACGATGTAGCCACAGCTGCCCCGAGGCGGACTGACAGAAGCTGATGGTCACTGATGATGAATAAATGAAATATACACAAACAGCTGAAAATGTGGAGAAATACACCAGTGAGGTTCTTAAAGACATCCTTCATTCAGAATTTTAATACATTTGTTGTGGCCTCTACCAGGAACTAATGCCTTGCACTCGGGGGAATAAAAGATCAGATGCGCTTATTTCAGCGCAGCGTCTTATTTCCTGATAGTTAGTCATCTCGCCTCTGATTGGACAACAGCAACGCTACCTATGTTCATGTCCAGCCAGTAGGTTAAACCCAGAGCCACCCATCATGTTTCAAAAACAAGTAAAAACGGTTTCTCAGTGAACTTGATCTTTAAAAAAACTGAATCGCAAAGACTGATAAGTACCGTTTGTACAGCTGTGGCGTCCCATGCGGGTCCTTGAAGGCCCAAATCCTGCATCTTTTAACCATTTTTCTGCTCCAGCACACCTGATATAAATCAATGAATGATTAACAGGCGTCAGCAGAACTGGAGGATGACCAGAGGAGGTCATTCAGCCATTCAATCAGGTCAGTTGGAACAGAAACCACACGGGATGTGTGGACTGGTCACCACATTTAATAAAATGAAGCAGAATCCATAAAAATATGAACCTTGATGATTATTCAGCTTTGATCTGTGGGATTCTCTGCTGTGTCTAAATGGTTAAAAGCATTTTTATTCATCTGTCACTGAATCCCTCTTCACCGCTGCACAGACAGAAGGAGACAGCAGCAGGTCATCAGTTCTGCTGAGAAGATGACCGGCTGAGAGCTGCCCTCTCTCCAGGAGCTTCAACATCTTCAGGACTTTAAGGCGGGGCAGAAAGACTGCAGCTGACCCCACCCACCCTGGAAATAAACTTTCAGATCTAGTCTCCCTTTAAACTGCCGTTCTAACGCTCTGCTAATAACTCCCACAACACACACGCAGTCAGACTTTTACTTTTAACAGTTCACACATCTTTCATAGCTAATTTTTGTGAATGGTAATAGTGGGGCTGCACAATCGTAAAAAAAACGTGATCTCAACTCATACTCGTATGCAATCTCAACGATTTTAAAGAGCAAGTCACCCCCAAATACACTTATTTTTCCTGATAAACTATATAAACGAGTGTCTAATCGTGCTGCAGACACGTGTAGTCAATAGTTTTGCACTTTAGTGCATTTTAGTTAAAACGTTAATTTTCTGCCTAAAACTGTCAGTGTTGTGCCGTTGTCAGGTAAAAACTCTGCACTGTTGTTGAATTTAAATCTGCCATCGCTATTGACTAAGAGGTATGCTATGTAGCGTTATTAAGATCCTATTGTCTGCCCTTAACAGCTACCCCTTCACACAGTAACAGCGTGCATGAATCGCCAAGGTCGGGTGCTTCTTTCTAAATGTTTACATTCCAGGAAAGGAGACAGAAGAAGGAAGAAGAACGCTTTTCATTAATTAATCAAAGAACTTTATTTGTGATAAAGCTAATCAAAACATATGTTGATCAATAATAATCAGGTGACTGATCTGTGAAATCAAAATGTCATGATTTATGTGTTTAATGAATAAACAGGACTGTGCACCAGACATACTGATCCACAGAACATAAGAACTTATGACACATTGTTTCATCCAATCAGAGCTTCCGTCTGTTGCAGGGCAGAATCTGGGCTGTTTACTTAAATTGTCCACTCCGATTTGCTAAGATTTATAAACAACTAAGTTAATAAAACAGAGCAACGCCATTTTAACGGCAGTTCCATCTCAGCTCCAACGGAGTTACATCATAGACAACGTGGTTTCGACCAGCTCTCAAATCATCATCCCTAAGGGAATTACAAACCGGCCAGCTGTATTTTTCTACTTTTAAGCTGAGAAATGTCAAGCTGGAAGTTCTGTCGTTTGAACAACAAGACGACGGTTCCTTCAAAATAAAAGCTGAACGCGCTGAGACCTGCCACTACTACCTGGAGCTATCCGTAGACGGGTTTTTGTCGTGCTGCCACACTGTTTCATCAGTCCAGTACCACGGAGGTCCGGAGACTGACATTCCTGATCTGACCACGGGAGTTCCTACACGGTAGGTAGACTCAGCAAGATGGCGTTTCATGTCATGAGCTTCTGAAGCCCTCGTGGTTCCTAGTCAAAACATCAGACACCCAGATCCGGCTGCCTCAGCCTGGAGATTCTGAACACACACACACACACACACACACACACACACACACACACACACACACACACACACACACACACACACACACACACACACACACACACTCACACACACACACACACACACACACACACACACACACACACACACACACACACACACACACACACACACACACACACACACACACACACACACACACCAACACTTCGACATTCAAATCCATATGCATCCATCATAGAGAGTTAGTCCTGGGACATTGTTTGAATTTATAATTATAGAAATTAAAGATTCTTAAATGATCCCAACTCTCTCTTTTCTTGTCTCTAAGTCAATACAAAATGTTTAAATAAAACTCCGTGAAGTAAAAACAACCTCTTCTGATTATAATATCTGGACCTAATAAAAGTGTAAGAATATACAGCTATATTCCACTACAACTAGAATGTTAGCTGGTACCATATGATGTCACAATTGCTGTGTCTCAATTCAGGGTCTGCATCCTTCGAAGGACCCAGCCTACTTGGCCGACGTGGGCTGGGTCCTCCGTCGGCCGAGTTGACCGGATGTTAACGGCTGTGAATTTGGACAGGCCTAGCCTTCATGAATTCCAGCCACTCCCTCGGCGAACGTTCCGTCGCCTAGCAACCGTGGAACCGCTGAGCAGAAGGGAGAAGGAACTTTAAACGATGGAGCTCGTCGTTTTATTTAGCGTTTTAATCATTTCCTTGACTGTTGGAGAGCTAATTCAGAGAAAATACTTTCGACAAGCTGAGCCTGAGCAAAGATGTGATAATAGTTTTTAATACTTTCTAAGGGTCTTAATTTGACCAAAACCCATTTATCACCTTTTAAGACTTTAAGACCCAGTGGATAACCTGTAACCTGCTAGGTGCGTTCGTTAGCCACGTTCGTTGTCCAGTAGCATGTGGAGAGAGATGAAAGACAACCACAGATCTCGTCCCATGACTGAGATCTGTTAATGGGTCATGATCAGATTGTATATTCACAAATAGGTTCTCTGTTATTGCTGTGGTCCGTTGGGGTGATGCCGGCTCTGACTGAGACAGGAAGAGACTGAACAAGCTAGTTAACAAAGCTAGCTCGGCTCTGGACTGCCAACTAGATTCAGTTGAGGAGACGTGTGAAAGGAGGACGGTGGTGAAGATGACCTCTATCTTCCAAAACCCTCCCACCCACTGCGTTCCACTGTGGAGACCATGGACAGCTCCTTCAGCAGACTGAGACATCCCAGATGTAGAACAGAGCCACCGTAGGTCATCCATCCCCTCTGCAGTAAGAGTGTAGAACTCTCAGTTTAACTGGTACTGGCATTATCCTGGTACACAATACCACCAATGCAGTACTCAGTATGTGTTCAATACTTGTGCAACACTGGATTTACATATGACTGTGTCCATTATGCTGCATCGTTCTGGAACCCAAGTTTTCTGTTATTTGTTGTTTTTAGTGGTTGAAGGTTACGGTAATAGCCGTTGTG